TTTCAGCTCGAGGGTTCTGGGTGTAGGCTATAGGGTTTAGGGTTTAGGGTTCAGGGTTCTGGGTTTAGGGTTTAGGGTTCAGGGTTCTGGGTTTAGGGTTTAGGGTTCAGGGTTCTGGGTTTAGGGTTTAGGGTTCAGGGTTCTGGGTTTAGGGTTTAGGGTTCAGGGTTCTGGGTTTAGGGTTTAGGGTTCAGGGTTCTGGGTTTAGGGTTTAGGGTTCAGGGTTCTGGGTTTAGGGTTTAGGGTTCAGGGTTCTGGGTTTAGGGTTTAGGGTTCAGGGTTCTGGGTTTAGGGTTTAGGGTTCAGGGTTCTGTTTAGGGGGTTCAGGGTTTAGGGGTTAGGGGTTAGGGTTCTGGGTGTAATGTAGGAACCTGATCAAGAAACCCTGGACCTTAATTAGGGTTCCTTCGTAAAGGGGTCTAGGGATCTATAATAAAGGTACTCTAATAATGTAGGAACCTGAATAAGAAACCCTGGACCTTTGTTAGGGTTCTTTATATGAATCCTACTATTTACTATTTTGGGGTTATAGGCCCAGGGTTTCTAAATCAGGTTCCTACATTAGGCTTTAGGGTTTGGGTTTCCGCACCAAAACCCTATACTTGCAACCCCCGTCCTTCGGTCCCTTTTCTTTGCGCGGCCATGGCTTAAAATCTCCGTCTTGATGCATTGCGTGCTGCCACAGCTTCCCCGGTGTGCCTGCTCAAAACAATGCGCATCCCAAACTCCGTCTGGGAACCCCACACGGGTGCTCCGGAATCTCCTGAGCTTCCCCTGCGAAAAAAATCGCACTCTCCTAGGTCCTACTGATGAAAAGTCTCTCAGGCAGGCAGCAAGGAACAGACAGCTTAGATCCTGCTCACCTTTATAAGGCTCTTGAATATTAGACGCGGATTCTGGGGTCAAGTTGAAGAGGTTCAGGACTAGAATGGGATGCTGCTAGCAATGACTCAAACCTTCAGAGTAGGTCGCTAAAGCAAGAAGGACAGCTCGACCAGGGCTCCGCCCCTAAATCCCTAAACCCTCGTGAAGCCCGAGACCCTACACCCCTAAACCCTAGACCCTAAACCCCAGAAGCTAAACCCCAAATCGTAAACCCGAAAGCCTTTTCCTGAATCCTAGACCCTAATACCCCTAAACCTCAATCCTACGGTTGATGATATAAATCCTGCATTACCCATAATAAGGAATATACCATAATTCCCATAGTTTAGGGTCCTTAAGGTCATGCAGGATTTGTATCATCAACCGTAGTGAAACCTAGAGCATCTGGCCCGTAGGTGTCCGCCAGCCTGCTAAAGAGGTGGCGACATGGAAACCTTTCATCCTCTGAGACTCCACGAAGCCTTAAAAGGTTGAAATATGGGGTTTTGGGTTTGGGGTTTCGTGGCTTAGGGGTTTACGGGTTTAGGGTTTAGGGTTTTGGGTTTAGGGTTTAGGGCTTGGGGTTTAGGGGTTTACGGGTTTAGGGTTTAGCTAAAAGACTTAATAAATGGACTAGGGTTTGGATTTGTGATAGTATACCTATATCATGGAACCCTACGGAATGCTTTTGGAACTTGGTTGGATTAGATTTCTCTTTTAAATCAAGAACAGTCTTCAACCTCAACCTATGCTAGGTTTAGGGTTTGAGGCGGTTTCCCAGATATAAGCATTTGTCAAGCTTTCCCCGAAAATTTGCTGAGCTTGCGGACTGAGGAGAATTCCTGTGTTACGGGATGGTTTAGGGTTTAGTTTACGGTTGAGGAGGGTTTATGCCTCGGCATTAGGGATTAGGACTTAGGGCCTCAAGTTTAGGGTGAAGTCTCTGGATCCTCACGACGCGCCATACCTGGAATCGGGTGAAATCTCTGGATCCTCACGATGCGCCATACCTAGCAAGACAAGGAGGCATCTTGATATTGAGAAACCCTAGATTCGGCACTGGCTGAAAGATAAGGTTCGCAGCCTCACTGGCAAGATTCGGGAGCAAAAAAAAACTTTTGAGCATGATGAGAACTCTAAACCCCAATGCTTGCGCCCCAAAACCTGAAAAAGCTTTCGTGCACTAAGACCTAAAGCACAGAACCCCTCTCAGCAGGCACCTCATTCTATCTGCATCCTATTGTCCCAGAAGCAAAACCTCGTTATCACAGACGTTACACTCCATGCTTGGAGGTTCATGAATAAATACAAATGGGGTTCTAAGTCCCCTTATGCAGGTCACAAGTCATAACTATAGCTATCCTACATGTAACACCTATACCTAGCGACTCCAATCCTTAAGCTCCAAACCCAAAGAAGCGGAACCCCGAACCCCTAACCGTAAACCCCTGAACCACAAAAGGGGAGTCCCGTCAGGGAACCTTTCATTTAAGTTTCCACAGTGGGGATCCATGGAAAATTATCGCTTCCTCACTACGGTAAGTTAGAATAAGTTCCAAGACAAGAATCCAGTAAATTGCCAACCTTTACGAAACCCTAAACCCTCAACTCTAAACCCTAAACCCCAACCGTTAAGACCCTAAACCCTCGAACTCAACTCCTGAGCCTTACACCCCCACCCCAAGCCACTCTAAACTCTAAGACCACGTTTCAGGGTTTAAGGATCTTATGAAAGCCGTACGAACCTATGAACAAAAACTGACAAACCCTTTCCCTAGCGCTCATAAAAAGCACCATAAAACCATCTCAAGCCCTGACCAGAGCCGTGTAAAATCATCTCAGACCATAAAGAAACCAATGACTAACTAAGGAATCATCTTGTTAACAAAACCTAAACCTTCTACCGCTGCGCTGCAGCTTGGTGACAAGGCCCCGCCGTGAATGCGGACCTTCCGATCGAGCTTTTGCTGGTCGTCCCAGATGTCCTGAAAGAGTTTGGGATTATGGGTTTAGGGTCATATAGGGGCCCAATAAAGAGAATAAGGTTTTGGAGCCACTTATACCACAACAAGACAAGGAACCCCCAAAACAGTAAGACGAGTGAACCGATCGAGTGGCTTCCCTTTCGGCACCTTTATCTGCCATGGAGAACCATGCTAGGAGGCTACAGCAAACGGATGTTCCATGCGACTTACATGCGTGCAGCGGCAGCTACAGCGAGCAGGTTGTTTGCACACACTGGGAACCTTGACTGAGGGTTTAAGCAAACCCTGAACATGTGCTGTTCTCAATATGCCGTAGCTAGAGCAGCTAACTTCTTTTACATTTTGCATGCTGCCAACCTTGACGAAGCTTGACCAAAATCTGAAGTGCTGTTATCACTATTGCAGAAAACCTCAAAATCACAAATGCTGCTTGCACTGTGGAGCAGAGTCGGCAAAATCATGTCTGTGCGACTGTTGCCCATATTGGAAAGCAATTCTGCCAAAAGCCAAGGAAAGTATGCATTCCCACCGCAGAAATATCCAGACAAGAACCATTAAACAAAAACAGCATAGAACATCCATCGTAGGGATCCGCCCTGGTTTTAGAACCAAAACAAGACAAAACAAACAGAAAGCCAAAACCCAGGACCTAACGCGATCGCCGCAGGAACAACCAGAAACAAAACATAAACACGAGCACACAACATCAACCGTAGGGATCCTCATTGAGCTGCGAACCAAACGAAGACAAAACAAACAGAACCTCTGATAAAACAATAGACCAAAACCCAGTACCCAACTCGATCGCCGCAGGAACATCCAGAACAAACCATAAAAACCAACATACAACAGCCATTGTAGGGATCCGCATTGGCTTTAGAACCAGACCAAGACAAAACAAACACAATTTGTGTTAAGAAATAAACAAAACCCGGTACTCAACGCGACCACCGCAGGAAATCCAGAAACAAAACATAAAAACCAACATGCAACATCAATCGTAGGGATCCTCATTGCATTGGTGGACAAAACGAAGACAATAAAACAAACAGAATTTGTGTTAAAAACTAGACCAAAACTCCGTACCCAACGCATGAATATCCATAAAAGAACATAAAAACAACATAACACATCCATAGTAGGGATCTGCATTGGTTTTAGAACCAAACCAAGACAACACAAACGGAACCTGTGATAAAAATAGACCAGAACCCGGTACCCACTGCGACCACCGCGCTCACCCTCCCTGCCTCCCTCCCTGGCTTTCGCTTTCTCGCTCCCTCCCTCGCTAGCTCGCTGGCTCACTGAGGACGCTTCAAACGATCAGCACAGGAAGCGCGCGAGCTGGAATAGAAAGGGTTACGGGCTCAAACCTTTCTATTCTCTCACTGCTTGACTCTGTTTTTCTATGCTGCCGTTTCACATTCAGAAATTTGGGTTAAGAAATCCAGGGTAATTACCCTCAAATTCCGAACCTTGCTTTTACTAAAAAAGGTGCCCTTCAAAATTAAGAAATCGAGCCCCCCCCCTCCCGAAAAATTAACTGTTTCCTAACCGGCGCTGTCGCTGTAGCACATATGGACCTTCTAGGAAAGCTTATGTAGAAGTTCTATCCACGTTCATGGGGGTGGTTGTCAAAATTATGGTCCCTTTTTGGGTACCCTAAATGTTAGGTGCCGTATTATAATAAGGCCCCAACAAGGAACCATAATTTTGACAACCACCCATGGGGCTTCTGGCTGAAGAGTTGTTGGTTCAAGGCATAGCCTTTAGAACTTGGCGTTTAGGGCGCAAGGTTCAGGGTTCAGCGTTTAGGGTTTCGCGTTTAGGGTTTTGCAGTGAGGGCGTCAGGTTTCGGGCTAAGTCTTAGGATTTCGGATGAGGGGTCTAGGATTTAGGGTTGAGGGTTTACATTGGGTTTACGTAGCGTGTTTCAGATTCAGGTTGTAGGACGTTGCTTTACAGCTGTTGCTTTCGGGGACGGGCGCAGCCAGTTAATGCTACGGATCTCTCAAGCATGATGTCTTTTTCGATCGGCTGGTTTAGGGTTTAGGGTTTAGGGTTCTCCGACACTTCCAGGGGCCGGAATATCTGGAATAGGGTTTTCGGGCATATCCGTGTATAGTGACTGTACTTGGAGGTTCATGGGACTTAGTAAGTACAGTTATAGGTACCATAACTGGGGATATAGCGAAATATAAGTATAGTTACCTTATATATAACCCTAGTTACTAAGTACCATGAACCTCTAAGTACGAGATAACAGAAGCAGGACAACCTGTCCTCATAGACGTGGGGCCACCGACACCAGCGGCAGACGTAAAGGAACTCGCTCTCCGCACAGTCGGGCAGCACGCTGGTGGTGTAGAAGGGCACCCGCTCAAAGTAGGCCACGCACTCGAACTGCTTGTTCTTCGGGTTCGACATGCACCTCAGTCCAGAATTTTATGTACTTCCGGGATAGCAGGGTCTGTAGGGTTTACGTCCCCAAAACAGTCAAAGGCTACCTAGTCAGGCTCCAAAGCACAAGGCGTTCTTGCAGCTGATGTTCGGGAGGTTGTAGATCCGCTCTGGCACCTGCATAGAACCATAGAGCTGCTGAAGACCCTAACTCCTGTAGTTGTACGAGAAAACCATGACTAATCGTTCAAGCTGCCTTAACCAACCCGAGAACTTTGCGAATTCGACCCATCGGAATCTACCAAAAGCCTGAATCACTGAACCCTGAACCCGAACCTAAACTCTAAATTCAAGCCATGGCCCTTAGTGAAGGAGTGCTCCAAACCACACTATAAGCCAAGATCCTTGATCAAAGGGTATGCGTAAGTATGGGCTCTCTGCCCCTACCCCGAATCCTAGACCCTAAACCCCACCAACACCCGCCTGCAAGCGGTACTTGGCGACCACCTTCGAACCAGCCACGCAGTTGAAGGTGCAACCAGGCGCCACGGAGGCCAGCATCTTTACATCCTGCAAGCCCCAAAGGCGGGGGGGGGGGCTGAGAGGAAATCCTAGACCCAAAACCAAAACCCTATAAATACTAACCCCTGAATGAACCCGAAACCCGAAGCCATTTCCGGTTTGGGGTTTTGCGTTTGAGGCATGACATTCAGGGGCTGGGGTGGCGAGTTACTTCGCGGCGGAATGGTGGGGGGTCACACGGGACACTTTGCCACGTGGACCATTTAGGGTTCAGGGTTTATGGCCTCGTACCAGCATCTACCTTGTACAGGGTGGTGGACTCAAACTGCACCCTAAACCCAGGGGTTAGGGTGCAGGTCTAACATACGGATGCCTTGGAACAGGCTGCGCGAAAATCGACTATGCGATGAAGCAACTTAACTGGACTACCCTCTGAGGATCTGATACTGCAGCGTAACCTCTAAAACCTAAACCCTAAAGCGTGAAGCCCAAACCCGAAGCCCAAAACCTTCTCTCTAAGCACTGCTTCCTAAGTCCAAGTGCTTCCTGCTCGTTTCTGTCCTACGACTTACTCCGCTGATCTTATGCTACAGACCCTCACGGCTAAGCTAGCCCAGGTCGTAGTTACTGACCCCTGCAAACCCTAAACCCTAAACCCTAAACCCTAAACCCTAAACCCTAAACCCTAAACCCTAAACCCTAAACCCAAAACCCTAAATTGCCGTGAACCCTGAGCCCTGAACCCTGAACTTCCCTAAACCATAACTGACCCTAAACCCTGAACCCTAGTGAAGGCCGTGATCCCTAAACCCTAACGCACAAACCCTAAAGCATTTCCGGCCCAAAACTCTAAGCTAAGCTTAAAGCCTAAACCCTGCATGCCAAACCCTAAACAATTCCCCAAACCCTAAACCCCTGAACCCCTAAACCGCTAAACCCTTAAACCCTTAAACCCCTAAGCCGCTAAACCCTAAACCCGTAAACCCTAAACCCTAAATCCCTAAAAAAGCCCTCCTCTTTCCCAAACCTTACAGTTCCCTAAACCCCGATGATTTCCTAAACCCAAAACGACCAAGGGCCCTCTGAGGACATCCTGCACCCGAAGCTGCTGGTAGTCGTAGCGCGGAAGGGTTAGGATGCCTCAGAAGGGTTTAGGGGTCCTGGGTTAAGGGTTAAGGGTTTAGGGTTTGGGGTTTAGGGTTTAGGGTTTAGGGTTTAGGGTTAAGGGTTTAGGGTTTGGGGTTTAGGGTTTAGGGGTTAAGGTTTATTGCTGTATGGTGTTGTGGGGTTTTGGGCTTTGGGGTTTAGGGTTGAGGACGACTACGGTGCAAAATACCTAGATTTTTAAGGAGCTGTAAAAAAGAAAGGTTTTTTCGGTTCCAGGTCAGGTTTAGGGCTTTGGGTATGGGGCTTTGGGTTTGAAGCTTTCGCGCGGGGTTCATGCCTAGGGTATTGGGTTCAGGCTTCAGTTGCCATACCATCAAGAGAGCATAATGCTCCCTATAAACCCTTGCTGTGTTGCGGGAAATCAACCCTACACTCACCTCTCAGACACGGTCGCATCTTGGGAGCGACTCCGTACCCTCCAGATCAACATGTTCACCGGAGGCATCGACCGCCCCGTCCACCAGGTTCAACACCAGGGGTTTGGGGTTTACGGTTTAGGGTCTACGGTTTACGGCTTAAGGTTGAGGGCTTAGGGGCCTAACAGTAACAACCCCGAAACTAAACCCTAAACCTGAACTCCTCAGACGCGACCCCCTAACCCTGAACCTTGAACAAACACTGCGGAGGGTTTAGGATGCAGTTCGCGAAGCCAGCGGACACTCCAAACACAGACCCTGTCAGGGCAAGAAGCCCTGAACCCTCAACCTCCATACTACATACTCTATAGCCGTCGGGGAAAGCCAAGGTCTTGAACCTTGATTTTTCACTCGCGATATGGATAGTTCTCTAAATTAAGTACCACAAATCGTACGTCCCTAAAAGGGATCCCTCTTTAAGTCCCATGAATAGGACGGCCCTGAAAGGGACCCTTTTTTAATGAACCACCCATATGGGAGTTTCCAAAAAGCAGGGGACCCTAATATAGTGCCCCAAATAGTAGGATGCTTATTATAAGGACCCCAAAATACCCCGATTTTTCGGAAACTCCCATATCTCAAACCTAAAGCCCTAAGCCCTAAACCCCTAAACCCCTAAACCCCTAAACCCTGAACCCCTAAACCCCTAAACCCCCTTTCCCTAAGCCGACACGTTCCAGCAAGATGCCCTTGAAGTTCCCAGGATTGCCCTCGGCACGGGCACGGGGCTCGGGTTTTTGAGATTCGGAGCTTCATAGGAACAAGGGTCCGGCTTCGGGTTTTTCCTATCAACCCTAAACCCTAAACCCCTAAACCCTAAACCCTCAGAGGAATAAGGGTCCGGTTGCGGGTTTAGGGTTTAAGGCTTAGGATTTAAGGTGTGGGGTTTAGGAAAGCCTATCAGGTTGTAGGGCTCCATACTGCTTATGATATAAATTCTGGGGGGTTCCTTTAAAGGGATCTATAAGGGTACCTTTAAGGGGCTCCTTTGAAGGATCTATAGGGTTTTAAGGTTTAGGGACATAATTTCTGCATTACCTTAATGACCCTAGACAGTTAGGGTCTATTCCTTGTTATGGGTAGCGCAGGATTCATATCATCAGCCGTAGGAACAAGGGACTGGAGACTTGAGGTTTGGAGTTAGGACAACCTACTTGGAGGGTCGGGGGACTTAGTAAGCAGTTAGTACATAGACGTATAGGTACCTTAACAGGGACCCTAAGTTGGGGTTATGGCACCTATAACTCTATAAAATAACTACTTACTAAGTCCCCCCCGACCCTCCAAGTATCAAGGCGTTCGGCAGCTTAGTGGTTAGAAGTGTATGTAGCATGCACATACTTCGAGCTCGGTGGCCAGTTATAAGTGAGTTCTATGTCCCCTGCTGTAAGTATAGTTATCCTGGATCCTGGATATCCTACCTAGAACCCTACTTATAACTACTTCTGAACCTCCAAGTAGAGGCTTTATAGTAAATCACCTGGTTTCCGGCTTGGGGTAGTACAGGGTGGTTGGCTGTGTAGCATTCTCGTTGTCCTTTGTGAGGAATCAAGAGCAACGAAGCCTGAAGCATCAGCGTGATGCTTTGGGTTCCCCATAGAACCACCCAGACCTTCCAAAATTCCTTATTTGAGGAATATGGCTTAAATCAAACTGCGGATCCTATCATAATTTAAGGCAAATTCCTAAAAAAATGATTTTGAAGGTCTGGGCAGAGCGAAGGGTGTCTCCAACAATGAGTACGAGGTTCCTATGGGGAAATCATCAAAAACAACATTCGGTTTTCGTCCGTATACAATAAGAAAGTAGTCCGATGCTTTCTTACCTAAACCCCAATCCCGAAACCCTAACCTTTTTGCAGCCTTTAGCCTTAATGCATGATCCGTAAACCCCCAAAACCCAATCCCTAAACTCCAACCCCTAAACTCTACTCCCGAAACCGCTTAGCCCACTAGACCCTAATCCCTAAACCCTCATCATCAGTCCCTACTACGTGCCCTAGGACTTGCGATCGCCCCAAAGCCCTAAACCGTAACAACTACAGATCCCTTCTTAAGGAACCCGGTAAAGTAAGAGATGCAGATTTAAAGGAATGAATATAGACCCCTTTAAAGGAACCCTAAACTGGCCCGAAACTTGAAACCCTAAACCATAGATCCTAAACCCTAAACCCTAAAACCCTAAAGCCCTAAAACAGTGAACCTTAAACCCATAAACCCCAACACCCTAAAACCCAAATTTTAAAAACCCTGAACCCTCAACCCTAAGCCTTTTCAACCCCAAAACCCTAAAATCCTAAAACCCTAAAATCCTGAAACCCCAAACCCTGAAACCCTTTAAAGGAACCCCGGGGGCCGGCCTTGGAGTTGTAGACGCCCTCACTTCCGATCATCTTGGCCCAGCCGAGGATCGTCCGGACCTCTTCAGTCCGAGCCCCCGGGGGGTTTAGGGTTTAGGGTTTGGGGTTTGGGGTTTCGGGATTTAGGGATTTAGGGTTTGGGGTTTGGGGTTTGGGGTTCGGGGTTTAGGGTTTAGGGTTTAGGGTTTGGGACTCCCTCAGCCCTGAAGGGAGAGGGACGGTTGATGATATAATTCCTGCATTACCTTAAGGACCCTAAACTATGAGACTTATGGTATATTCCTTGCTATGGGTCACGCAGGATTTATACCATCAACCGGAGTACCCAGAGAGCCCAATACGCCATTATTAAGGAATACCTAGGGCCTAGGGTTCCTTGAAGGGATCTGTAAGGGATCTATGGGCTTAGGGTTTACGGGATTCTAATACTCCGTAATTAAGGAAGAAAGCCCAAATCATCATATTAAGCCCTGTATAATTTGAGCCACATTCCTTAAATAAGGGGAATTGGGCTAACTGGGCAGAGTCTAGGGATTTATGGTTTAGGGTCTAGGGGTTCAGGGGTTGGGGGTTTCAGGATTTAGGGTTTAGGATCTGACGGTTTAGGGCTCATCGTCTGAGGATCTAGAGTACGGGGTTTACTTAGAGGATCATGGGACTTAGTAAGTATGGTTATAAGTACCTTAATTGGGGTTATAAGTAATTATAATTGTAGTTACCCTAGTAATAACCCCAGTTACTAATTCCCATGATCCTCCAAGTAGGGTCTAGGGTTTAGCTGTAGGGCTTTAAGCTTAGGGGTTTCGGGTATCAGGGTTCAGGGCGCACAGGTTTATGAGTTTCAGGGTCTAAAGGGTTGAAGGGTTGAAGGGTTTAAGGGTGTAGGGCTGAGACTCCAAAACCCCTTGGCTAAGTGTGCTGATCGGTTCTTAGCAGCGTTGCCTGGGGCGTTTGTAAGGTCTTTCCCGGGCTTTGGGGTACAACATTATGAAAATGTCCTAAAAATCAAGAATGTAGAAGCATTCGCAACATGGTTTAAGTCCTATTCCTCAAATCAACCAACTCTCCCAACAATGGGAAGGGATTTGCTCCAGCCT